TCACGACGCAATGGTTACTTGGCTAAATTAAAAATTCAATAATTAAAAGGAGCTTTGTGAAAACGCGCCCGAAACGTTATATTTGCTCTCAAGATAACTATGCGCTAGACCAGGTTTAGATATTTAACCACGGCGAAGCATTATTAGCAAAATATATCGTATATGGCAACGCGGCACGAACGAGTTGATTCATTATTATCGTTTTTTTATTTTTTTATTTATTTGTTTCTTTTTTCATTTTTTGCAGCTATGTATACTTACCAAACACAAGACACCAAGCAATTAGGAATCGGTGGCAGGTGTTCACTAAGAATGATGCGGCTTCGAAAAAGACAAATGCACAAGATGCGAATGAGTTGCTGCTATTGTTACGATGACGACGACAACAGCAAAATTATTATTATTATTATTATTATTATTATTATTATTATTATTATTATTATTATTATTATTATTATTATTATTATTATTATTATTATTATTATTATTATTCGTTATTTCAGTTATCTCGCCGATTCCTTCAACCGAATGCTAAGTAGCCCACTGTAGGCAAATGTATATATACGCATACGAAAAAGGACAAACGATCTATTTCGTCGTTTCAGAGCAAAAGACTGTATACGCTTTGTATGAGCTGATATGTTAAATTATAGTTGAGGCGTATGTCTAACAATGCTAGTTTAAATATGACAATTGAAATATTTTTTTTATTTCTTTATGTTCATATCACATATGCAAGTGTTTTTAAGTTGCGATTTTCGCAAGAGGGATTTAAAATTGTAAGCCCAATTCTTAACTGTTGAAGCAATGCGCTTACTGCCTTTGCACAAAGGACGTGACGAGGCTAGTCAAGTTTCTTGCCTGCTATCCTCACCCTCAATCGCACACTCAGCTGTGTACTAACGTACCTATGCGGTGAACGTAAACGAAAGCTAGAATCAAACCTCAAACAATAAAACGTGTATACGACGGTGCTTCTAGAGCTCTGAAAATTAAAACCGCGTTCACCAGCGTGATTCGACGTCCGTTGGCGCATTCTTTTCTCACGGCAGACAGACCGGCCTTCCATGCGAGGCGGCATTACGTCGAGTCGATTTCACCACCATCGTCTTGGCGATGGTCCAATGAATTCTCGGTAAGGCTATACATACGTGAGGTGTCGAGCATCGCTCTGGGCGCCTGACCGACGAACGCGGCTGCATGGAGAAGGCGCCCACGTGTGCTTCGATATGGGATCCCTGAACGGCATAGACCGACATTTCACGTCTATACGCAGCGGTAGGCGCCGTCGACAGGCGCTTGTAGCAACGCCGCGGCGTGCAGACCCCGCCCAACCCAAAGCTCGCCACGGTTCTCAATGATCACGTGACAACTGGAACAGCAGCTCCAAAGCTGCCTCCGAGAGGCTTTAGAGCCGTCTGTCGTCCAGTTTGCTCAGCGCATTGCAATAACGTACAATATTACCTCTCTGTATCTGCGTCGAATGGTCGCGATAAGGCACATGGAAATGAAAGTGTAGCTCGTCTCCGCCTTGTTTGTAGCAATCAGTAAAACGCGTGCTGAATTCTCAAACAAAACTGGCGCAACTCCCACAGACGCGAACGAAGTGTCGCGAAAAGTACATATGACGAGTGAATTATCTAACTAAATGTTAATTATTAAATTAATTATTTAATCAAGTAATTCGAATAAAATAACGGGATTCGAGTCCCTAAGTATCACTGCAGCTAAAGTGTCATGGTCGGAGGATAAGGAATAAAACAATCAGCTTGACAATTTGGGACGCCTGAACGTTCACCTAAATTTAGGAATTCTCGAAAGAGCAGTCAAAATTGCGCCGTAAGCGTTTAAAGTACTGTGCGTTCGTGTGTCGTCCCGCTGCAGGGTAGCGGAGCGCGTTAAACGAACGCCGCTCTAATGTAAAAAATAAACACACACACACACACACACACAGAGAGAGAGAGAGAGAAAGAGACCACGTGTTACAATATAGCAGAAACACTTGGATAATAACGGTTGTAATGAGGAGGAAACAGCGGCTCAACGGAGACGTCCAGCGTCAATGTGGAACTTTTTTTTATTTATAAGTGAAGACAGAATCAGCCGTAAAGGGCGCACACTGCGCATGCACTTGTCTCGAACAAAATTTCCCGCGGTGGCTCGGGCTCTATAAAGTGCGAGTAAAAAAAAAAAACTAAACATACGCCGATCGACACCACCGTCGCTACAAAGAAATACTTTCATCGTAGCGACTTTTCCTCGTCTTGTTGACCTCTTTCTGCCTGAAAGAGCAGGCAAGCACCTGTGAAGACGGCCGAGAAAAGGCGAAGACGGAGAGCTACCTCACTGTTTTGCCTTTCACGGCTTGTGATGACGTCAGGGAAATCAACGCGAATTAACACGCGGTAGCCTGCACAAGCGCTCGTCATAAAAAGTCAGGGAGCAGTGGAAAGGCCACCGACAGGTTCGAACGCGGCGATCTCGGATGCAAGGGCGATTTCTGTTATCGTGTTTCCTCCGTTATATTTACCAAACGAGGACGAGTGGTGTTTGAATGAACGAAGCAGTCGTGCAGGAAAGAAGAATAAATGAAAAGAAAAGCTCCGACGCTCCGACGTTACGAAACAAGAGAGGTGCAGCGCGTTGAGAAAGATGACGACGCACGAACATTTGAATAGTCATGCAGTGTAGCTCGTGTGGCTCGGTTGGGAGTCGTGCATGCATTTACAGATGTTCCTAGCGACGTTCCTCATCTACAGGCCTTGCCAACATTTTGAGCTCAGGAAAAGCGAGGACAGACCAGTACCGATCACGGGTGCTAGCGTTTTTCTATGCCTTCGTCTACCGTGCTGTTGCACAATGTCGCACGCTTACGTATACATTACCAAATCACTCCTAAACCAGACATACGAGATATGCCAGTGTATAATGCAAAGGCAGCTTGCAACAAGGTCCCCTTTGCACATGTGCGCATATATATGAAATATTGAATATATCGTACGTTAGAACAAAATGGCTTCTTCTATCCTTGATCTGGCGTACTTAAAGTATTTATTTGAATATGGTCATAACTAGTGCGTGAAATAGGAGTAACCGTTAACCCTGGTAGTAAGGCTAGATCTTCTCTGGAAAGAGAGAGAGAGAGAGTATTGCTTAACACGTCTTGTTTTCCAGTCTCCTCATTTATCTTTGGATGACATAACCTGTGTTATCGTCTGCAGCCAGTAGCTGGGGTGGGTGATAAGATAAGAATAGAAAAAAAGTAAACACACCCTTGCTTTACACGTTCAGAGGCGGGATATATAGCCTTATGCGGCGTCAGGCGATTGTATGCGAATGACATTTAAATATACACTTGTAGACAGCCCGGGGGGGGGGGGGGGAGATGCAAATGTGGTCCTTAATGACTCTCACAAACTGTATTGCAATGAATAACGCTGAAGACTGGGTAGTAACTATGACCGCATATACATCACCCTGCGGTAAACAGGGGTACCTGGGTGACGGCTAAGTTTTTTTCTTTTTTGCGGTAATATTTACCTTTCTCTAATAATGTGCGTTCAATAAACTTGCGGCACCGAGTGTAATACTCGTAAAGGTTCTGCGTCGGAACTCTCTACATAAACGTAACCCTAAGATGGGGATATATTTATTATAAGAGATGCGGCAAAACATTGCAGATAACAGATATAAGTATGAAAAAAAAAACTTATTAATGCAGCAGTGGTTACTTCGCAAAAGTAATAGTTCTTGAATGAGAGGTTTACATATATTGGTATCTGTGTGAATATTATGTTAAAAATTTAGAATACATGAGTAATACTTTAAGATACTTATACCGATTGCACGAGAAACACAGTTTCATACTATAGCTGCAGAAATATTTTGAGAATTTTCAGCTTAGAAATGGAACCTGAATGAAATGAAATTGCGGGTGAACTGCTACAATATATTGGGAGTGCGAGGACGACTGGAGCTACACCCTTGCTACGCCGCTCGCAGGGGTCGGATGACAATTAATCCAATCAGTTTTTTTTAACACGTTGGTCCCCACACATAACCGTCGTTACGACGCGGTAATAGTCACACCGCGTTACAGGTGATGCAAAAAAACAAAAAACACGAAAAGTAATAATAAGACGACTTCTGTATTCGCGCCAAGTCGAAGATTGTGCAAGTCGCGACCGGTTCAACGGCCTCAAGATAACGTTCTTATTTGTCTTTTAAAGCACGCAAAGGATAACAATTGTTGGGGTTCAACGTCCCAAAACCACGATATGATTATGAGAGAAGCCGTATATAACGCAGGGCTCCGCAAATTTCGACCATGTGGTGTTCTTGAACGTGCACTGACGTCGCACAGTAAACGGGTCTCTACCATTTCGTCTCCGTCGAAATTTGCCCTCAGCGGTTAGGATCAAACTCGGGACCTTTGGATCATCAGCCGAGCACCATAGTGACTCTGCCACCAAGGCGGACATCTTTTAAAAGCGGGAAATCAGGGAGGCAAGGTAATAAGAGATGTTGCGGTTTGGCGGTAAAAAGGTTATGCTGCAAAAAATAAAAAAAGTACAGCCATTGAAACCTAAATAAGCGATATGCACAGAATGCAAGCAGGCTTCACTGCCAGTGAAAGTGATAGGAAAGCCGCGAAAGGCTCTAACGCCTACAAGGATGGACACATGTTTCAAACCTACCGAATATATAATTTTTTTGTTTGTTTAGGAAACGGAGAAACACGGAAGGATAACAGGCGCACGAGCGACACCGACCACGCGCTCACTGTTAGTAAACGCGCGCCAACACATCGCAGCTGGAGCATTGACCGGAAAACCCGCGGTCGTTTCATTCTCATCGTCGCCAGCGAAACCAAACCTCCACGTGCGTTTTCTGTATTCACATTACATTCACGCATAAAGACGTTTAAGAAAAAAACGGAGGCGATCAGCCTAACCGAAGCCTTCGCCCAGCCTATATAAGCAGCGATCACGTTATCTTACCTTTGATTCGACGTCGTCGCTGCGAAGCGCCCAGCGGCGGCATGGAAGAGTTCGGCGTCACGACGGCGGGCTCCGGCGATGCCCTGCCGTTGATCGGAAGAGGACGCCACCACCGCCGAAAATCCGAGCTGGTCGATCCGCTGCTCCCGACGCATCAGCTACACGGAGAAAGCGAAACCATCACCGGCACCACGGACGCTCCTTGCAGTGGCACCGTTTCAAGCGCGCGCACAGCGGGCAACGAGGAACCCCTTCGACACCAACGGTTTCACTTGTCGGCCGTCCGAAGCCGGCGATCCATTTCTCCGACAGCTGCTCGCTATCACACACACGACACTGCTGCTTCATCCGCACAGCATTGTCAAATCAAATCGGGCTGTACTCCGGAGCAAAGCTTGACAGATAGAGTGATTCTGTGGGCCGCTTCGTACGTATGCTTTGGCTTGGCTGAATGGAGTTATCTGCCCGGCGGCAGCGCGAAGGCGCCGGCCGAGGCGGAAAAGAAACTCACTAGCTTCGCTCTCGCCCGCGGGATGCAGCCTCAGCAGCCGGCGTCGCGGATACACTGCGCCGTCTCTCCGGAGGACGCTCGCGAACCACTCAGAGCGCCGAGAGCAGCGCCACAAGTTCTTACGCTCGCCGCTCCTCTGTCTATTTCGGGCGCTCTTAGCGCGCGTTCTTTAAGAGTGCCTCGATGCTCGTGTTATTCCAGGGAGCCTGCTGGAGCGGGAGACTCCCGCCTTTTGCGACCACGGAGAATCCGCACACGGCTTGAAGCCCCCCAGGAAGCGGCTTCTGTTACTTCAATATCGTAACAGCATGCTGTAGTGCCCGAATGGCTTTACGTGCCATCAACAAGTGTGGTTATGATTCAAGAATTATCCTTTGAGAAACATGTCCTGCCCCTGAGAGAGGTTGTACGCAAGTCGGACAGCGCTGAAGACGGGGCAGGCACTAAAGAGAGAACAAAGCGCGGCCTCGCTTTGTTTTCTCTTTAGTGCCTGCCCCGTCTTCAGCGCTCAATCAACGTTCAGCGCACGCTTTCGGACTTTCAAAATAAAGCTTTCCCAAACCAAACCAATCAACGTTCAGTGCTTCGTCTCGAGTCATTTCAGTGCGTGTTCAGTGCGTGTCATTTCATGTCAGTATACTCTTACCAGAGCTGTTCGATTGGCCGTCATCCACGAACTGGTGAACCTACTACAAAATTATCGACCGATCGACCGAGTACTACAATCGACCAAATTATCGACCGAGTACTACAAAATTATCGACCGATCTCCTCAACATCATCATGCTGTAAGCTTATCGAACACATAATAGCTCATAAATTAAATGAATTCTTAGAAGAACGCTCAGTTTTAACAAATCATCAACATGGGTTTCGAAAAGGATTTTCTACTACAACACAATTGGTTACTATCGTTCATATCTTTGCAGCTTGTCTTGATGCTAACGGCCAAATTGATGTAATATTCTTAGACTACAGTAAAGCATTCGACACAGTTCCACACGATAAACTAATTATAAAACTTCGGTTAGTTGGTATACCATAATTAGTTATCTCCTGGATCTCAGCTTATCTACTCAATCGCAACCAATATGTTCAGGTAGGAGAAAAACAATCGGGCTGCCTTCCTCTGACTTCTGGCGTTCCGCAGGGGAGCGTACTAGGCCCCCTTCTGTTTTTGGTCTACATTAATGACATTGTCAATGTAATTAGCACCCCGGTACAAATTCGTTTATTTGCTGACGATTGTGTTTTGTTTAGAGATGTAACCTGCATTAGTGACCAATGTGATCTTAATACTAACTTATGCAATGTATCAAAATGGTGTGAACAATGGGGAATGCTTCGTAATGCAAACAAATGTGTGTATCTCCCCATAACGCGCAAAAAAGTCCCATTAAACTACACATACAATTTAGCTGAAGCACCTTTACTTAAAGTAGCCTCCTATAAATACTTAGGCTTAACGTTAACAAGTACCTTATCCTGGAATTTGCGCATAAATAACATCTGCTCTGCCGCTTTCCGTAAATTATGCCTTCTCCGCCACAAGCTCAAGAGTGCTCCGCCTAGTGTTAAACTCCTCTCCTACTTTTCCTTAATTAGGCTTAAACTTGAGTACGCCTCCATAGTTTGGGATCCCCACACAAAAATTAACGTCCAAAACCTAGAAAGAATTCAAAGAAAAGCAGTACGATTCATATATAGTAAATTTATGTCAACCGACTCCCCCACTGCATTACTAACAGCAAACGGTATAGAACTATTACAAATTCGAAGAACAAAAAGTCGGATACAGTTTCTTTCAGACATAGTGAACCACAGGCTACCCTTAGACACCGCAGTATACGTATCCCCCTTGTTAAGCAGACCCACTCGACACCACTATCCTCATTCCCTAACGCCAATCTTCTCAAGGACTGATACTTTTCGGTACTCCTTCTTCCCACAAACAATAGATGATTGGAATAAACTAACCGAAGCATTTCCTCAACGCCCTTGACCATTTGTGTAAATACTCTTCTTCCATGACTTCCTTGAATGGTATTATCACCTTGTTGTTCAACTGTTGCTTTTTTTGAAAGCCATAACCCCTCTGTCTTATAGCAAAGAAATTGTGTAAAAAACGCTTTGCAACCTTGTTTCATTCTGTTATTTAGTGTGTTTCATGTATGCTCACCCTGCTTGAACTTTTTGTCTGCTGTATTCTATAAATAAATAAATAAAATAAATGAACTGGCTCACCAACGTGCATTAGTGCCGTCAATAGTACATCCTACTGCCCGTCCATGATTATCTTGATGTTAGGAGAGACGCTTATTTCTGCTAACCGCATGGCATAGCACGACACAACGTCGGGAGAAGGGGAGGCAGTTGAAAAGCAGTGAAGCATACAATAGATTAGATTGAACGAAAATGAAAGGCCACCTCCCTGAGATTAGTATACGAACACGGGAGAGTGCCAGGTCGAGCTACCCCTCTCGCTCAGGGGCGTATATATAGTCAGAATCTTTTGGGCGGAAGGGTGGGGTGGGAAAGGGTTCACCAAATTTTAAGTATGTGCGCGCGTGTGCGCATTATATATGCAAGCAATATTGAAAAATGACGCGGGGGTTTTCCCCCTTGGCTCATGCTCTCTCTGCATTGACACTATATAGTAACCGATCAGTTAGACACTACTAACCGATCAGACAATGGTAACCAGTCAGACACAGTTGCCGGCGGAAGTGGTAACCGATCTCAGTGGCTTCCACATGTGACGCTGGTGACCGATCCCATTGACTTCGACATGCGACCCTGGTAATCGATCCCAGTGCCTTCCACATGCGACACAGGTGACCGATCTCATTGACTTCGACATGTGACACTGGTAACCGATCCGAGTGACTTCGACACCGCATGTCGCGGGATCGAGTCTCGGCTGCGGCGGCTGCATTTCCCATGGAGGCAGAAACGTTGTAGGCCCATGTGTTCAGATTTGGGTGCACGTTAAAGAACCCCAGGTGGTCCGAATTTCCGGAGCCCTCCACTACGGCATCTCTCGTAATCATATGGTGGTTTTGTGACGTTAAACCCCCCATATTGATCAATCAGTGACTTCGACATGCGACACTGGTGACCCAGTGACTTCCACATGCGACACTGGTAATTGATCCTAGTGACTTCCACATATGCGACACTGGTGACCGATCCCAGTGACTTCCACATGCGACACTGGTGACCCAGTGACTTCCACATGCGACACTGGTGACCGATCCCAAAGACTTCCACATGCGACACTGGTAATTGATCCTAGTGACTTCCACATGCGACACTGGTAACCAATCCCAGTGACTTCGACATGCGACACTGGTGACCCAGTGTCACAGAACGAGCACTAAAAATGGGCGCGCCGCCAAATTCTTGCGGTAACGCGCGGAAGAGACGCCGGGGGGTAAAAAGAAAAAAAATTGCCCGCAGCTTCCCTCGGGGGAACACTGAGGAGGATGCGGAGCATATAATTGTTTAACGGGGTGTTAAAGTGCGACTTACTTGGGTCGATGGCTAAATTGGTTAACGTGGTTGTGAAATGGGGTGTTAAATTGCGACTTGCTTGGGTCGATGGCTAAATTGGTTAACGTGGTTGTAGGAGGGGGTGTTAAATGAGTGAACACGTACACACGTATGCGAAAGGGTGGCGCTGGTCGAAGGGACGTCGATCATTGTGTTTGTGGATTCGTTGGCATTCATTTCACCGCGACCTTGGACGTCGACGCGCCGTACAAACCAACCGACGAGCGGCAACTGAGCGAGCGAGCGCCGACCTTGAGTATATATACAGCGCGACGGCGCATGCACTGTCAGCTGTTGAATGTTCTCGAAGCGCGACGGCGCATGCGCGTCCACTGGAGAATCAGGAGAATTGTAGAATGTTCCCGAAGGGGAGAAGCGCGCGTGGCACAGATGGTGGGTGACGGTGCATGCGCGCGTCAGCTGTCGAATGTTCGAGAAGGGGGAGAAGCGCAACGGCGCATGCGCGCGCGTCAGCTGCCGATGTTCTCGAAGCGCGACGGCGCATGCGCGTCCACTGGAGAATCAGGAGAATTGTAGAATGTTCTCGAAGGGGAGAAGCGCGCGTGGCACAGATGGTGGGTGACGGTGCATGCGCGCGTCTGCTGTCAAATGTTCGAGAAGGGGGAGAAGCGCAACGGCGCATGCGCGCGCGTCAGCTGCCGATGTTCTCGAAGCGCGACGGCGCATGCGCGCGCGTCAGCTGCCGATGTTCTCGAAGCGTGACGGCGCATGCGCGCTACATTATACACCTAGCGAATGTTCGTGAAGAGGAGAAGCGCACGCGGTGTGTAGAGGAGGAAGGGTGCACAGATGGTGGAGGAGTGAAGCGCGCGCGGTGTGTAGAGGAGGAAGGGATGCACAGATGGTGGAAGGAGGAGGAGGAAGCTTGCGGACGGCGCCGCACTACAAGCCTCGAGTATTAGACGCTCCGCATCTAAAAGAAAACAAACATCCAAGGCTCCCCGGGCGCGCGCTCTCCCCTTGGAGGCGTGGCTTCGCCGACGAACCTCCACACCCCACATCGGCGGCCGAGATAGCCCGCGAAAGTTCTAGAACGAAAGGGGCGTGGTCATACCGAGTTGAGTCATCGGCCGCGGAGGGCATTCCAACCGTTTCGCCCTCTTCCCAGCCTTCGCTGCGTATCGCGCCGACGAAATGACGAGAACCTTCTGGAATGTCGCGCGCAAGGTATTTAACCGAGCAGCCGAGATGAGAGATCAGGAGAAGACGGAAGTAGCGCCGGACGACTCGAGCTACAGGCAAGAGTGTGTGTTTACCGCTATCGAGCGAAGACGCGTGGCGACAGCTGCGTGTGTGAAGCCGACGTGTTCGGGCGAAGAAGTTTGAAGCTTGGAGAGTGGCCTATTGAAGACGTGAGGTTTCCTGGAAGAGAAACTTCGAGGGCTGCGGAACGACAACAACGCTGGACTTTGAGTGAGTGGTTCTCGGAAGAGTATCATTCAGACTTGTGTTCCAAGAACTTTGGACTG